GACACCGGAGAAATTTTTTTTTAATAGCAGAGTCGCTGCTTTGTTACGTAAAATTTTATTGGCCAGCGACGACACTGTTGTAGTTTTCGACGAGATTCATACGGTAGTAACGTGGGGGTTAGATTTTAGGAATTCTTACGTAAGATTCGTTGAAAATTTGGAAGGGGTCCCCCATTTGACTTTCTTGCTGTGTACAGCGACTTTTCCGTCATACCTGTTCTTACCTGTCCAGTCGATGCTTAATATTCGCATTCATAAAATATTCGATTTCACAATTTTGAGAAGTTCCGTCACGATTTCTACGTTTCACACAGCTTTCCATCCGTCAACTCTCGCCCCTACTTCTCTTACGTGTATTCATCATGTACCTGGGAAACTTGCTCGATACTTGAAGAGAAATTTTTTATCCGAAGAATTGAGCGGAAGAGTGGGGATTATTTTTGTTAACAATAGAGAAGGGGTCGAAAAACTGGCCGACGAATTATCACGAAGGGGGGTTTCCTGTTCCTATTTCCATTCGCGGTTATCCCTCAACGCGAAAAACCAAAGAGTAAATTCGTGGAACGAAGGAAACCCCCCTCTCATGATAAGCACGTCAGCTCTTAGTCTCGGCATTAATAATCGCCATCTCTCTTTCGTCATTCATCTTGGGTATAGAGCTGCATCTTCCTTTTTAGAATACGTGCAAGAAGTGGGTAGATGCGGGNGGGGGGGGGGGGGTATATCTCTGGAGGTGACGCAATTCTGATAACGAGTGGCACTCATGATTATTTTCAAATCTGCTCATCATTGAAACATTCAGAAATGAAGTCGATCATAGCGAATAATGAAGTGGCCCTCAATTTTGGATTTTGGAATCAAAATTTCGGTTGTCTTCATTATTTGGTATTCGCCTATTTTACTTGGTGTTCCAGCGATGTGCTCGTAGACGATTTTGTAAACACTCGTTGTTATAATTGCGTCGCCTGCAAGGTAAAGTTTCCGGAGCGTGTTCCGTTTCCTTTCGCAGACGAGGAAATCGTGAAAAATCTTTTCCGGGAAATTGGAAGGGAACCAGTACCTTATTTGCGAAATTTTGTTCTACTGGCAAAGGTACTAGCAGGTATTATAGATAAGTCGGTTACAGACCTGGGTCTTCACCGTTTACAGAATTATGGAGCTTTGTCAGGTAGAACCGTTCAAAGTTGCTTAATTCTTATCACGACATTAGTTCTCTTGAGAAGGCTTCAAATTTCTGTCGACGTGAAGAAATTAATGGGGGCTTCTCGTTTTTCTGTGAGCAGATACGATGTTTTAATAAATTCCCCTAATGATTAAATCAAATATATCCTACCAATTATTACTCTGCCTCTTTTAGAAGAATAAAAAAAGAATCCGGAGGAAAAAAAGGAAATTTCTTACCTTTTCCCACGTGTCTAGGATTGAATACATCCAATATTCAAACATTGAATATATTCAATATTAAAAAATGGAATATGTCTAATGATAAATATCGGATATATTCCATTTCAGAAATAAATCCTAAATAAAATATAGCTCAATATTTTGAATAAAAATTCAAAAATTTACCATCGTCAATCTAGTAGCATGGGAGACTTATTTTACACGATTGCCTGCGGTCCGAGTGCCGCGGATGAATTCTTCAAAATTTCAATAAAGTAAATGTTCATCTCTCTCTTTAATTAGCTTCCATCGCGCTACTGGTGACCGGTCACGATTGCCTACGGTCCGGGTGCCGTGGACGACCCTTTCGGCTAATCTTTTTAGAAGACTTTCATTAAACTTTCAGAGACAGACTTTGCAGTCATATGTAATGGGAACTCCCAATTATTCCAGTCGGTGGAGCGGCTAGGAGGCTTTTTGGGCAGGGTGGGTGGGGCCCCCATAACCCTGACCCTTTATGTGTGCAACATCCAGTTAAGGCCGAGGTCGAATGGGGAAAATAGCCTCAATCCCCTGGGCGTCTTGAACGTTCCGAATGACCACCATTAAGACGATGACGAGGAAGTCGAAGACGTTGAAGGGGCGCATCCCCCCCCCCCCCCCCCCCCCCCCCCCCCCCCCCCCCCCCCCCCCCCCCCCCCCNGTTAGTTATCGTGCCGAACGACCGACACGATGGTCTCCTCCAAATAGAAGGAGGCCTCGTCACTGAGTATCGGACGCCGGATGAAGACACCGGATTCCGGGGATTCACGGAGGCAGAGGCGGCGGATTCTCATCGAAGGAGAGTAGAAGCTGCACCTTTTCGACGACCCGCCGTACTGCAAGCGATTCAGTGATTCCTCCGTTTATCTTTCGCGAAGTGCTACATACAGCAATGGCATAGAAATTCTGCAAACATTATGCTAGGTTTGCCCTGACAGAACAGCGAAGAGCAGTTTTGAATACTTAATTTGTAAGTGGTTACTCATGGTGGAAACAATCCTGGATCCCACCTAAGAGTAATGAAGAAGTCCTTGGTTTAACGTTCCCGACGGCCCGCCATCAACGGTTAATGGAGTTCCGGGCTTCAGATGTCGATGTAATACTCTATGGGGATGGGAAGTGCAGAGCAAAAGGGATCTGAAACGCCGAAGAAGGTTAAAACGTACTGTACGCGTACAGGTTGCCCAAACGCATGACTTTCATCATCGCAAAAGCTTAAATCTATCTTGTGATTTGAACACATTCCCTATTCTGCATTCAGATCGATCATGGAAAACTGCGGCAAAGTATTTTTTCAACAAGTTTAAATGGTTGATTTTGATTTTCGGGAAACTTGTAGACATATTAGAGTATATTTCGTCGTCGCGCGCGATAAATATCTCTGGTGCGATTCGCATGCATCTCAAAAGACAGTGCACATGAGTGACCAGCATTTTCATTAGCTAACGGCCCCCCCCTCCTCACCGCTCTGTGTTCATATTTCCCCTCATTCCTCTCCAGAACTCTTCTCGCAGATCTTCATCGTCAATAATAAAGTGACTGAGGTCAGGTCGGGTCAAACTCATGAAACAACAACAAAGTTTCATGGGAGGACTTGCAGCTGGATGACTGGGCGAGCTACTGCTTGTTCATAATTATTTCAGCGATTGCTTGACACACCACTCCCACAGCATCCGACACTCCTCAAGATTGAAATGTGGCATGAATGATGAGGACAGCCACTCTGCAAGAACTCCTCGCCATTATTACGACTGATTAATCGATTGATAATAGACCACATTAAAATTGCGATTTAGACGGAAATGGACGTTCGATAAATCCACTGTGAAGGTAAGGTCATGGTTCTACTAAAATGTAGGCGAGAGATGAGACTGTACAAATCTTCCGTTTTTTCGTTATATTATTGTTGGTTAATGAACGCACCACGTTTGCCAGAAAGGAAGAAGGCCACATCAGCTATTGCCAAATTTAATTGGGCAGTTTAATTTTTTACAGGAGAACGTTTGTGCGGATTCCTTTAAAAATTTCGAGAAATTTGCTTTGGACTTTACAGAATAATCACTGAAATTTGCATAAATATAACGTTATCGCATGTAAAAAATTAAATTGCCTAAGTATATTTGGCGCAATAACTAATGTGGCATGGTTCCTTTCTCTTTAACGCTGTTCGAATGAAGATAACGGAAAAAGGTGTTGCTTGCAACGTGGAAAAACTACCTCTGGCTCATTTGAGATGAAATATTCCCTTAAATGACTTATTGATCAGGAACCAAATGTATTCCAAGCTGATAAGAAGAAATTCTACCTTGTTCCAGGTGGCAGAGGAACCCATGGAAATAAATTAAAGTGGATACGGTTTTTAGCCAAAAACCCCACGGTTAGGTTCCAAACGCAGATAGGTTTTATATTGTGAAAGAATCAGAAATGGAAGTCTCATGGGAAAATTTAGTCATTTTGGCATAGGCAATTGTTTCCGGAAAAAGCGGCGTTTGCTCCCGGAGGCAACTTTTTCGAAGGAATAATTTTTTTGAAATTAGATAAAAAATTCCATCGGTGAGATTTCAATGGGAAACCGTACTCTGTGTCCCAGACGCTCAATTTTGGGGGACTAAGTTAATTTGCCACGCTTCAGAGAGGGAAAAAGTACAAATTCATCCAAGGAGTAGCTGCTTTCTTCGAAACGGCGGAAGACTTAAAATCATTTTGTCTCTATGAACTGCAAGATTCTAGTTTTTTTCAACCGACATATTTTTCGAACGTGGTGGAGAAATTGCAAAATATATTTCTTGAAGACCTCAGAGATGATAAAAGAGGTATTGCCTTGAAAACTCGGGTTCTACAGGAAAAACTCGGAAACTTTACGATTTTCTCCAGACTTTTTTATTGATCGCTCGAGGCTGTCAATACTGGGCCTTCTTAAATCATCATCTTTAAACGTGACGGTTTACTTTCATTGTTCTTACTACAAGCAACTTTACACTTGCGACGCAATAGCTCAACGCGGCAAGCCAATGCGGCAGCGCGGGCTCCTCCCATCACTCCATCAGAGGCGCTGAAACCAGCTGAAGCGTAGTGTTTCCGGGTTGCGCCGTTTTCCGTGCAGAGAAAAAAAAAACACATTGGATCCAGAGTCCAGACTCTTGAAAACATTGACAAGAAAAAGGACTCTTGATTCAATCAGACTTACGGTTAGATCAGAAGGAAATCCGCTCAAATTAAGAGGCTTGGTTCTTGATTTAAGCTTAAATTTGATTGAATCAAGAGTACTTTTTCTTGTCGATGTTTTTGAGAGTTTGGACTCTAGATCCAATGTGTTTTTTTTTTTTCCAGTTGTGTTTTTTTTGCCCCTCCCCTCCCCCCAACTCCGGGAAATTTCAGCATAAGTCAATCTTTGGTTTTATTACATAAAAAATAGAAATTTTACCCCAGCCCATTTCTGAAAGTGCAGTTACCTTTGTTTCGTTTCAAAGGCACTTGGGTTCGAATTCCATCGTGATTTTTTTTCGTATCATATTAGTTGAAAGAAAAAATATTAAGAATAGAACATTAACTACTACTCAACAACTAGTACTCACCGATAAGAGTTGCCAAAAAAACGAGGCAAAGAGATGCATGATACTGCTGATTAAATTCCATTTTGAGCTTCCAATTTGTTATAGTTCTCCTAAAATTAGCATCGGCTAAAAAGCACGTGATACTTTCCAGAAATCTAAGGAACCGCACTCACAACACTACGTCATTAGAGGACGAACTTGAGTTGGTATAGGAGAGTGACCAAAACACCAAAGTTGAAGCCATCGGAGCTCGAAGATGGTCACAAAAATTACGATACGAGGTTCACTTAATTACGATATCACTTAGGATAATGTGCAATAGTTTCTATTATACATCTAGTTGCTTTCCTCGTGAAAATGTTAACACAAGAGGCAACAATGAGAACAACATTCTATTAATTTCGGCACAGTTAATCCTTTCGCGATGACTACGTTGTACCAAATAATGAAGAAGACTCAACTGATGTATATAACCGTAAATCTTTTTAAAATACGAACCATTAATATATCCTGAGAGGAGAAATTGACGCTTCACGTAAACCCTAACGGAATAAGCACTAGTCACACCGCTGAAAGTACGGCTAGCAAACACTTAAAAAACTGCAAAGGATGCGATAGAGGGGCGTAGGAGGAATGGGGTACTAGATTGAGCATCAAATTACAATATGTGTTATATTTTTAACTTAGAGTATCCTCAGAAAATTATTCGTCTTATTTGGGGAGCGTCAGAAAGGCGTAGATTGGCAGAAAAATTTGTGACACTTTAATCTCATCTGAGGTTATCGCACGCACGCAGACACTCACAAAAACCTTCCTTCATTAAGTTTGGCGTGATGCAACTTGACAAATATGAAGCGTAAAAACACAACATTGAGCATCTTTGAATTCCAGCATTTGCTATATTGTCACCCTCTTTCCACACGGAAACTTCGTCATGTTTCGGATAGGTCGCAGAGAACTTCCGAAGAAAACCGGCGCTGTAACCTTTATTTCATTGGCGAGGGTAAAACACTACGCACAAGACTGACGCAGAATCATCGGTAAATATCCACTGAGGGTTAGTTGAAATCGGCGCGTGGGAGCAAACCGCACCCGGGCATGATTGACCCGAGGGAAAGTCAAAAGCCGGCACGATAGAAAGCTCGCGGCGCGAAATACGACACAGAAGCTCAGGCGACGCGACGTGCCCTTCCGCGAACGGCTGAGGCTGAACTGAGCTAAGTCGCGGCGTGGACCAGGATCTGAACTCTGACACCCCTCCCCCTCCGCACCCTGGGCGCCTTTCGCCACCCCTTCAGGCCGCCAACAACCCCAACGAGCGGGCAGCGCGACCCCCCCGGACCCCGAGCGGTGGGCGCTCGGCGAACACGTGCTTTTCGACTCATCAAATTATGCCGGCCGATATGATGCGGCCACCCCAAGCTGTTAATGAATGATATTACTTTCGATATGTCTGCCTCGTTTTCGGGTGGTTATTTATTGCGCGGGCGGCTTTCTCGCGTGAGAATCCGTCCAAAACACGAAAAGACGTGTTTCGGTGTACAGGTCACAGGCATTTTATCGAATGCCTAGGCAGATGGTCAAGTTTAGAAAGTTTTAGATGTTCAAATGACTCATCAAATCTACTAACTCTTCTCGTACCTTCCTCCCGACATGCTTCTCACGGACACTTTTCAATCTTTTCAAAAATTTTACCAAACTCTGAAGGTGCTTCTCAGTTATCATTAAATATTTTCGCCCTAGAAAAAATAAAATGTTGTCTGCTCAATCATTTCAGCTAATAACCGGGAAACAAAGATTCTATGAACAAAGTAACAATTCGCGAAAGTCCATGAAGATTTATATGTAACAATAGCGGGAGCTGACATCCGCCATTTTAAGGGAAAACGCTTTTTTCAAATTCTGGAGCCCTCAAGAATGCTTGTGCAAAGTTTCAGACTTCCAACGCAATTTTACAGCGAGATGTGAACTGAAAACCATGTTATTTGTAAAAACAGCGGATTTGTGAGTCCACTGTTCTCCCCACTACCCCCATCTACTGGTCATCTACTAACTGAAACTCTAAGCGCTTGTTTGGTTTAATCGATGTTCGGTTTCGGTGTTTTATATTGACCGCGTTTTCAAATTTTCTCATGACTTCATAACAACTTCAATCGTCTTGTTTGGAAAGGTGCAACCTAGCGCTAAGTTTTTTTTAAAACAGACAATCGCTGCCGCTCACGGATGCCAACTATGAGGTGGCGTATTAGCCAACTTCAAACTCCAGTCAATAAAGTAAAAAACATTTGTTTCATGTCGGCGGTGAAAACTACGGCGTGTCTTCGGAAGTCCAACAGAATGTCTGGGATGTCCTTCTGCAGAGGAACTCCAGGGAGCAGGATGTCGTTTAAGGATACACCATTGGATGACGGCGCTGAAGCGTTAAAGACGACACGTAAGCGAGTGATGGTCGAATCGCTGCCGCTCACGGATGCCAACTATGAGGTGGCGTATTTTCTGCTAGTCGAGAGGTATCAAACCGAAAAGCGTCATATTTTTCATAATTTTCAGGGCCTGCTCGATTTACCCGCCGTAAAGGACAGCAATGGATTGCCGCCGTTCTTAACGAAGGTGCAACAGCATATGCATGCGTTGGCCGGTCTGAAGATTCCAGATACTATGTATGGACCCATGCTGGTCACGGTCCTGCACGACAAGTTATCGAACTACTTCCGCCGGCGTTTGGATGACTTACGCGACGAACCGACGAACTATCCCACTCTGAAGGAAATGATAAACTTCCTCAAAGCTGAGTGCTCACTCATTTTCGACTCTCCTCCTCAGCAGAAGAAGAAGACCGAGAAAACTTCGAATGCTTTGGTCGTGGCTGGAGATAAACCAAAGTCTTCGCCATCTCCTAAAGAACCTGACGCCAGCAGCAAAAAGAAGCCTGCAGATTCTAAGCAGACTCTTCAAGTCGCGGCGCCACAATCCTCTCAAAGTTTAGCGATGTATTTACGTAGAAACTGTATTAAAAAGAAAGTTAATTTTAATTAACCAATTGAATGTTTCACCATCTTTGGAGACCCCCCAGACTCAATAAGGTGCAACAGCAAGTAATATCAGTTTTCAAACAAAAACAAATGGTATGCGTGCGTCGCACTATGGTCCACAGACTGGATTTAACGGAACTTTATTCGAAAATGCACTGCACCACCATAAAAGGTGTTGGATCTTATGATTTTTGGGTCGCTGATTTCAATTTACATCTTAGTTAAACAAAATATTAACATCCTGACCGAGAAACTTAACTTCAAATGTAATTTCTGGCGCTTTTAAGATTGAAGATTTTTTCCACCCTATTTTGACATGTATAAAAATAATAACAAAAATGTCTCTCGGTCGAGATCAGGATATTCTTGTGTATTTTTAGGCGGTAAATCCGAATATGACCTCCGTTTTTGTCCATTACCCTTTAATTTTCGGAAAAACCGATTTTACCCTGAAAAGCTCGTTCTCCAAGGAGAACGTCAGCATGCCATGGTCAGCAATGAACAAAATGCGTTGTTCTACGGTGGTTTGTATTATTTCTATGCACATTTGCAAATTTGACGTATTGTACAGGGGGCTTTATAGCTCCCTGGACGTTCACTCTTTGCGTTCTGCTTGTTATTTCTACTTCTACCTCTTTTCCTCCGTCATCATATGATTCTTCTCATATGGAAATCCATTTGCAACGCGGCCAAATGGGGCGTCGAGCTCGCAGCAAATGGATTGGGGGGTTTTTTTTCTTCCGGCGGTGACCTTTGCCCGACCAACAAAGGCTCACCTCCACAAAAATTTATATACGTTATAATAAATTATATTTATATAAATTATATATACTTACGTATTACTATTCTTGGTCGGTAAGTGAATTCGTTTGGATCGTATGTGGATTTTTTTTTTTTTTTTTT